ATTTTGAGTTTTTGGGGGTGTAATAGTAGAATAGTACCGAGATTTTTAATGCTTAACAAGTGCTGAGCTCTTGTTGTTTCCTCTTCTTAACTTCATTTTTCTCTATGTGACATGCATAGATAGACTTGGTTCAATGCTTTTTTGTAGTTATCCACACTTTTCCCATATTAGTTCGAGATGCAAAACCATCATAATCATTATATGGATCATACAACGTGAGAGAATCGGCGTGCTGACGGTTTTCCGACGCTGCAATACCCTCACGCCATTTCCTACCGACTCCATTTTAACGGGATAATGAGAAGATAAGTGGGGCGAGCTCGTTGATCTGTAACAGGGAGAATGGTGGAGAGGAGGCCACTTTCAAGTAATTCATTTTAAGGATAGCTCTGCTACGAAAAGAATGTTTGTGATCTTGAAAATCATCTAAAGACTGTGTAGATAGAACTCAAAAGTGTGTAAGAAGATGGTGTCTGTGGAGCTTGGGCTGGTTGGAAGTGCGGAACTATTACTGAAATCTTCCTACGTGCCTAGTTGACTTGAACACGATAGGTGAAATCACCTATGGAATGTGGAAGCAGAAGCGTATTTAGTGTAGACCTCGGGCTCTATCCTTTCTATGATTGGTTATGACTCCTCCGAAAACGGCATGGCTGAGGCAGAATAGGACAAGAATGAGGCAGTTTGGCTTTTTTTTCGAGCCCACTTTTTCAGAAGAAGTGCGCATTTTTTATTTCTCGACAGGGTGGAACCGCAGCAGTTGAACGTTTAAGTGGTATTACTGATTGTCACTAAAGGCTAATACTTTCAAAGACCCGTTTTTCAGTCTGGGAATAACATTGCAGAAGGAAGGAATATGCATATGCGGCTTTGTTGTAGTAGCAGTATATGAAGGTAATGATGCGGAAGAAAGGAAAGCAGGAAACTGTGAGAGGCATGGTCAAAGGTCGTTCTTAAATTGTCTGGCAATGGTGGCAATTGTCAGCATATATAATAGTAAGGGAGCCTATATGAGCAACGAAAGCTGGTTTACTGAGCTCTTTAACAGTTTCAAAGAGAAAAAGGAGAACTAGGGATGTGGCCGTTGCATTAACACATTCGCCTTGTCTCCAAATAAGTGAGTGCCAGACGTCTCACTGCATCTGGTACAGCAAGTAG